ATATATATATATATATATACATACATATATATATATATTTTTTTTTTACAGCATCCACTGCCTCTTTCTATTCAGAAATCCGTCTGCTTTACTGTATTCTGCTCACGTTAGATAACTATTTTTTACTTCATCCTTAGTGCTCCTGTATTCTTGAGTTCGATGGCGCAGCAAAAGGAAACCCTGGACCAGCGGGTGCTGGGGCTGTCCTACGTGCAGTAGATGGAACTCTGGTATGAGCTACTCAACTTAAATAGTATCAGACACTCATCATTTAGAATATCTTGTAGCATTGGTCTCTCTAGCTTTGGGCTCTCTGATTTTGAAATTTGCAGGTTTATCGTCTCCGTGAAGGTCTGGGCATCGCAACCAACAATGTTGCTGAATATCGAGCTGTGATTTTAGGATTGCGGTATGCTCTTGAGAAAGGATATAGGCATATTCGTGTGCAAGGAGACTCTAAGCTTGTTTGTATGCAGGTACATGTTCTTCTAACTCGATTTTCTTGCTTTCTTGTTTCAGTTTCTTCTTTTCCGCACCATCACCTTTTGCTATTTCCCCTAATTCTTTTGGGGAAGCTTTCTATTTATTTTGCGAACTTGCTTACGAACTTTCTATTTATTTTGCATATTTTCTCTACTATCTGAGGGTAGAGGTCAAATCTACATACATCCCACCCTCCAAGACCCCACCTCCGGGTGGGATATATTTTGTAACATCCCCCATTCATGTGGTTCAGAACGGGGCGATGTCACTAATGGGACAACATAAATACACAACTAATTCAGAGCTACTAAAAACTCCAAATTACAACTTCCAAGGCATGCTTTACGACCCAAAATATTACATTTCAAAGAGTAAATATAAACTTAGAACATTTACATCTTAAGGCGAGTCCGAGAACTCCAAAAGTCGCATGCTCGATCTCAAGTCTCATCTCTATCAGTGTCACTTGGAGTTTGCCGTGTCAGAAAACAAGAAACACGGCTGAGCACAAGGTTCAGTGAACGGACTATAATATGAATTCGGAAATAATAATAAATAACATCGACAAATTAGGTTGTTTTACATTATTTACCAATTAATTTTTCAATATATCCTTTTTGGTTGTTTTACATTTTACCAACATGACTAGTTATCAGCCAACAACTAGCTTATTAGCTAGTTTGCCAAACATAGCCTTTAAATTATAGCACATACATACCTTTTTGAAATAGTTGGATGAGCCTAGAATGTATTATCTTAGACACTTTTTTATGCTACGCTTAATTTGTGGAAAGAGATTACGTGTATATGTTTGATAATGCACGATGGAGGGCTAGTAGTATTCATCATCTCATATTTGGGATGGTTCTTTAAATTGCCTGCAAGCATTGATTTGTTCTTGAGAGCAACTACAACAGAATCTCTATAATTTCTCTAAAGTAGAGAACTAAAAGTTAAAATTCTAAAAAGAATTACATTCAACTCCAACAGATTCTCTATTTAGAGATTTCAACACTATTTATATTATTAAAATATTCTATAATTTTATCATCCCAATACACTTTTTAGAAGAACTTTATAAAATAATAATAAACCAATCTCATTGGTGGGAATGAATAAAAAAATCATTTCTCTCTCCTCACATCAAGTTTTAGGGGCCGTTTGGTTGGTTTTCCATTAAGTTTTGTATGGACAAAGATGTCCGTGTGGATTTATCTTTTTGTATAGATTGGGAAGGTTTTTGTTTGGATGGTTTTTTCTTAGATGAAAGGAGCTTGTTTTTTAATTGGGAGGGACATCCGAACATGTTTGGAAAAAACTTGGCTTCCTGCATAAAGTTCCCCCCTAAAAGCTTATTGAATAAGCCACTTTCTTTATCATCAAGTTACCATCAAACAATCATGTATATATAGCTTACTGAATAAGCTGCGAGTCCCATTAAGCTGCTAACAAACAGTCTCTTAGAGAATTCTCTAAACTTGGAGTTTTTTTTTAATGTTTTTATTTTAGAGAACAGCATAGAGAATCTGTGGAACAAAATAGAGAGCAAAACCCCCACTTCTCTATTTTAGAGACTCCGTTGGAGATGCTCTGACTCGATGCTTTTGGCCTGTGCCATTGTGCTTGTTTCTATTTCTCTCAAATCTCAATTCTACAGTTCTGACGTGGTATCTTGACAGTGGTAACTGATAATGTTTTGAACACAATTTTGACGAAACAGGTTAATGGTTTGTGGAAGACCAAAACCCAAAACATGACCGACTTGTGCAAAGTGGCGAAGGAGCTCAAGGATAGGTTCCTATCCTTCCAAATTTGTCATATTGAAAGGGTACGCATTTCTATCATACTTTCATTAAACAATGTACAAGACCCGTTTGCCGATCCTTAAAATGTTCATATACTTTCTAGTCCTCTGAATCGTCTACTCTACCTACTGTAGTCAACTAGTCTTAAATAGAGTTGTTCATAGACAGGACGACCTGTTAGTCCCATGTAAAATGTTGACATATGTTCTTTTTTAAAAAGATAAAATACTTTTTAGGTCCATTAGTCTGTGTGAAAGCCCAGCTCGTTTATAGGGTGGGCATGGGCAAGTTATCAAGCCTAAAAAAAGGGCTTTGGTTTTTCTATATGTTAGGTCTATTGGACAGAAACAGGGTTGGCCCAGCCCAGCCCATTGTCCACCCAAGCCCGCAAATGGTCACTTCTAGTCGTAAAACTGATGCATGACTTGTAGTAAAGCAAGTCATCACTCCTAATTTTAAAATGCTTGCCATATACGAGCAGTTACTGGAGATGGTAATGGGTCATGTATGGTACACGGAACCATTCTGATCCTTTCAATTCTGTAGCGTTCTAGTTCAATTTGGGTGTGTTTGGTACGTGGGCCCAGACAACACAAAAACTTGCGGAACATTAGACTGGAACATGACATGACTGACTGGGACAGAAGTGGAACAAGATTGGTAAATATTTTTTGTCCCACCAAAATAGGTGGACCAAACTAAGAGATACGGGACAAGATTGGTAAATTACTAAACTACCCATGTTAGATTAGAACCCTAAAACCTTCCGCAATTCTTTCACCTGCTTATCTCACTCTCACCCATCCAGTTTCGTCTGCATACCAAACGCACCCTTAGGGCTGACATTTGTCTAAGAAAGTTATAATTGTGACAGCGCATATGGTTACTTAATGAACAGCTTTTTGGAAACAAATCTTCGCTTTTTTGGCAGTATTGCCATCTATACAGTCTGTGGCAACCAATGAACGGAATAATCTTGCAGTTTATTTGATGTGTTCAATTGTTCATCAACCCATGTCATGACTTGTGACCATGTTGTTCTCTCATTAAGGGGCCATTTTTACCAAACACTTACCGGGTAGCATTTTTGGTCATCAAAATGGATTGTAGGTAAGCGCCAACCAGTAAGCTCTCCCTCACTTACCGGGTAAGATTTCCTTGTCATGATCACTCGGTAATGTAAGGAACACCTGTTAAGTGTGTACTCAGTAAGCGTTTGGTAAACGTCCCCTAAGTAACATAATTTTGTGTATACGTAAATTGCCTTTTACTAACTTTTGGAATTCTTAGGAATACAACTCTGAAGCTGATGCTCAAGCCAACCTGGCTGTACATCTCCAGAGTAAGAATGGCTCCACACCTTTTCCTTTTTTGTACCATATGGTTTTGTACAATAACTCATGGAAACAACCTGTCACTATTTGAGGTTGATGACAAGTTTGCATATATCCCACATTTGCATATCTAAAGGCAAAGTGGGCAGTTAAGAGCATCTCCATTCCAACAGATTCTCCAAAGTTGAGATTTAGGAATTCTTGCTCCTAAGAGATTCCCATCTTCTTCAAAATGGAGAAACCGTTGGAGATGAATATAAATTTTCTTAGAAGATTTTGACCTTTGATTCTCTATTTTGAAGAATCTGCTCTTAGCTGCCCCCCATGAAGTTTCAGGAATTTTTTTGAAGTTCTTTTTTCAAAATATAGATGCATTGTTTTGACCCCTATAAAAAAATTAACCCCTTTTTATCTTCAATATAATATTTCTGTATATAAATGTCTTGTTTTTTACATTATATTGTGTTAATAGAATTATATCCTCCCATCACCAAAATTTCTGGATCCAACACTCTGACCATCTCCAACAGATTCTCCAAAAAATTTTTTTTGCTCCAACAGATTCTCTAAAATGGAGAAAGTAAAGGAGAGTGAAAATTTCCAAATTTGAAGAACTCAAAAATGATTACCATAAAAGTGATATTTTTATTATATTCCCACCAATAAAAAACCATTTAGGAAAAAGAAATAATATTTTATTAAATGTATGGAATATTTTAATAATATATTCAATTTTGTTATCTCAAAAATGGAGAAATTCTTGTAATTTAATGTATTTTTTATAGATATTTTGAATTTTATTTCTCCATTTTCAGAGAATCTGTTGGAGATGCTTTGATATGCCACCTCTTTCCGGATGGGATATATTAGACTCGTTTGATTTAGTTTATGATTTTGTATAATAATGTGTTTTGGAGGCTTCGTAAACCATCCTTTATCGGTGCAGGTGGTGAGATTCAAGACGAAGTTGATAGAAGATAGTTCGAACCCCTTTCCTAAATGTTGATTTGCAACTTTCGTGTTGATTACAATCGAGCAACTTACTTTCGGGTTTTTTAGAACGTAATTCGACATCCAATTGCATGTGCCTTGATGCAACTATGTGCAGTACCACACTGCAATTTTTAGCTCAAAAAACTTTTGTTAATGCATGCCAATGGGTTTTTATTCGAAACCGCTCTCTACTTTGGTGTAGAGACTGTGTACATCTTATCCTTTTCAGACTCCATACTGCATCAAATTTACTGGGTTTGTTTGATTTAGTAACGTAAAAAATGTACATACAACAGTTGAATCCGATACAACTCGTAAATCTGATAGTTTTTGATCTGGTTGATATCATTAATCGAAGCTTTATGAGGTATATAATTCCCATAACACGTTAATCCGCATATTTGCTTTTAGAATCCTCACGATCCTATTTCTTTTGGACCATTTTGGATTGGATTGGTTTAATATTATTGGATTTTGGATTGTCATCTAAAAACCAACTCATGTAATTGGGGATGTTGAACTTTTGAATATGATTAGATCCAATTACAATTGAATATCTGATTATGGTCGGTCAGTTTTAATTGTATTCGATAACTTTTTACATACCTTTACAGTTTACACAAATCATGTGTATATATGGATATTGTCCAAATGAACGGTTATTAGAGTATTTCTTTTGCGATTTTTCTCTGAACTTGACATATATACATATAGATATGCATACATATACATATATATATATATATATAGGGTTGGGTTCACGTGAGACCAGCATGTTTTCGTGAGACTCGTGATACCACATTTTTACACATAAACTTCACAGCAAAAACGCTGTGAAGGTTTAAAAAAAGTCGAACCTTCACAGCAAAAACACTGTGAAGGTTTTAAAAAGTTACCTTCACAGCATTTTGCTGTGAAGTTTCAAGTGTGAAATGTTGGTCTCACGGGTCTCACGAAAACAGGT